TTCCCAGATGCCCTGGCCTGTTGGCTGTCCCTAAAAGCTCCTCGGCCATCTCTCAGAACTCAGGAAATGGCATGCCGTCCACACATGACCAAGATGAGCGTCTCAAATCCCTCAGACACTGTTCAATTCTCACATTACAACTCATAACATCAGCCATGTGTGATGACGACGCATGGTCGCGAGTGTGGCATTCTTGACACGGCTATCGCATCAAAAAGGCGAGAGCGGGAGAGTGGTGCGTGTGATGAACAATGTTCTTATCCTAGCTGACTCATTAAATCAAATCATGTGGTATCTTATTGCGTAAACCCATCAAACGCCCAACCGTGTTCGCATTATGTCCAAGCCACCTAAGCAATTGGCATCTTTGTCGACCAAACTCAGGGACAAGCGTCCTCGATCATTCGCTGTCGTCAACTTTCTTCCTTTTGCTGGGCCTGCGGACCCCTTCGCCGTCGACGAAATGATTTTTGTCGAGCTGGTGCTGCCTCAGGTTGTCAGGTCGATTTTTATACTGGCTCGTGCAGCCTGGGAATGGACATCGATATATTGTAGGAGGCGTCGTTTTGTGTTGCAGCTTCTTGTGCTTCGTCAGAGTGCCTTTGAACCACTTGGGATGCCCTTTGGGGCGGAATCCGCAAATGTCGCAGCAGTCCGTTGACTCGACTTTGTTGCCCGCTTCATTTGAGAGATCCTGTTGAGTTGTTTCCAGTTGCTGTGTGACCAGTACATTCTGCTGAGTGTCGCCAGAACTGCTGGTGGCGCGCGGGCAAAGGCTGTTGTACCCACCAAGATACGTCGCTATCAAACCCTCGGACATGTTATCGTCCAACGTGTCAGGGGCGGCTACGACGTCATCTAATCCGTCGAGCATCATCATGTCATCCAAGTGGTCGTCCTCAAATCCCGTGGTCAATGATGTAAAAATATCATCCAAAGTCTCTTTGTCGGTACTGTTGCCACCACGCGACGTGGAACTACTTTGATGGAGACCAGACATGACGTCTTTCATGATTCTGATACCGCATAAGTGGTAGGTCGCCCGCGATGTGATGTCCGGCGTCGCGTATTCGTAAATTTTATCGCAATGTTGCCGGACTGCTGGTACATATGAATCAAAGTACACGTTGG